TTGTTTGAGCTAACACCTTTATGCGTGGTCAGATGTGAAGGCTACGCCTGGCTCCTTTGGCTTGGGAGAGAAAAATCTTCTTGGGCAAAGTAGCACTGACCTCCTCCCAGCATGTCTCCTCCTCACCAAGCGGGAATGGCTCCCGTGTTGGTGCTGGCTCCTTGTGTGTTGACGCAGTGAGGAAGGTCAGAAGTAGAATATAGCTCTTTTGTATGGGGTATCTCCACTTGCCAAAGCAACCCAGAAATGGGGCTTCAAGAGTGTTGGGTACATACCAGTCTGTGCCTAAACCAACAGACTCCTCGTGCCACCAGTGCTAACTAAATAGCCCCAAATCTGCTCAGTTCCTTTCCCTGTTGATTTAGCTACGGTTTACCTACTAAATTCTGCATTTCCTCTTGATCCATTCTCTGGTGGCCGAACCACAGGATTTGTAGAAGAGACATCCACTGGAGACGTCGCTTTCTGGAAGAGCCCTTTGGACAGGACTTTGAGTCTACAGTGTTGCTAGTCTGGCTCACAGGACAGACCCGGGGGGCCCTGCAATGGACTGGGGGGGGTCTGGGGAGCCATCAGCCTTTGAGTGTGTCCGATACATCGTGACCCTCCACCCGGACCCAGTGATGGGTGGTAGTGATCCCACGCTGCCTGTTCCCCTGGGCCACAGTATGTGCAGCCCGGTTTGCTCTGGCCTCTTTATCAGCCCACAGCACCACAGTGTCAGCTTGGCTGGGCCCTGGCTGCAGCTGCCCTTTGCTTTTGAATATTTTTTATTTATTTTTTAACTTAATTTTTCTCCACCCCAGTGTGACATTCCTGGCGGTTTCGGCGGAGAGCTGAAGAATGTCTCCCGCTCCGGCCCCGGGAACAAGCCGGGCATTGACAGGGGAGGGCTTGCTGGCCTGACCGCATGCATGCGGGGAAGGCTCAGCTCCTGGGCGGGAACATCACACGGAGGCAGCTCCGCTTTCATCCCCGCGGGGACCGGGAGCGCTGCCGAGGCCCCCGCGGCGCTGTCTGCCTGCCCTGTGTGGCCGGCGGGGCTCCAGGGCCC